GAACACCAAACCATTTGTCATGTACGGTAGTGGTTGTATCATGCTGGTGTAGGCCTGTTTTAGTAGTGGAATTGGAAATGGCTGAAATAGTGCAGATGGAGAACCAAACTTTGTCAACCATTTTTTTTTTCTTCTAAAAATCATTGAAGGTATAGAATTTTTCTGTCTTTTAAAGGGTAAAGCTACAAGTTTAACTCTTCTTACATTCCAATAAGTGGTGCAGATAAACTCACCTATTCTCTCGTTCTATACTGTTTACCAGCTGCTCACCACATGAACCCTTTGTGGCCACGTTGCCATCTTAACCAGAGGTAAACAGTTATGTTTTGGTGCAGTTATTTTTATATACCGTATATTTTTCATTCTTTTATTTTACACCTCTATAGACATTCTGTTGATGTATTTAAATAAAATGTTTTGTTGGAAAAGTTGTTACTTTGCCATAACAAACCCAGATTTATTGACATTAATGCCCATTAAAACAGACATCTGAACAAAACAGTAATTCTTACTCCCTGATTGATCATTTTCATCGCTTTCCAGTGTAAACATTATTTGTTTTACCTTTCATTACATCAGTCTCCTACATTTTGAGACATTACAGGAGCTCTTTCCTTTTCCAGTCTGATAAAAATATTTTTTTGCTTTATAATCATGTGAAGATGTATGGCTTATTGCAGTCAAGTTTAGATTTAGCACATTTTAAAACCCCCTTTTTAGCGTATTTTTCCATTTCAAGAGTAGGAAAAGGCTGAGGAGAATTAATGATACAGCTCATGCTAAATAAGATACTTGAAGACTAAGACGTGGTGGTGTTCTGTCCTTCATAGGAGATATTTAGGATAATTGTAATTCATTTATAGATCTAGACTAGATCCAGACGATGGAGGAAACATCTATGATCCTTTAAAGTCTTGCCTTTCAGATCAAAACCCAAACCTTAGCGAGCTAACTCATTTGTTTGGACGCAGCTTTGTCTATAGAAGACACTCGCTCCGCTGGGGCAGATGTTTTCCACCGTTTGTGTAATACCCTTGAAGGGAAACGCACACAATGAGCCGGGATAATGTCACTGTTACTGTTCTGGGTTCTCTCAGGAGTCTCCCTCTCCCCCCCACCACTCTTTCACTCTTCCTCGCTTCCCCTTCCTGTCTCCAGGAGGAAGTTGGCCTTGACGGTCCTCACACGGCCTCATCTTCTTCATTTCTTTTCTCCGGAAAAGCAGGGCGCCTCTGTGCGCCGTCAGAGCATTCGAAGGGTTTAGGATGCGTGTGTGAAGGCTGCATGCTTTTCATGTTTTCCCGACGGTGGCCGCCTATTTTTGGCTGAAGCCGTGTTTTGGGGCATCCCTATTAGCCCTGCTTGATTAAGTCATTAAAGTTGTCCACCCATCCCTAAGTGGCAGCGTAAAGCTCCTGTCACACAGCATCACCGTCCACCCTGCTGGACCTATTGTCCACTGCTTAGCGGTTACACAACAGTTGTGTCGGCAGGCAAAGGTCGCGGCGAAGGCTGAGATGCTGGCAAGCCGGCTAATTGGCGGCTCGTTCTCGTTCAGCCAGCCAGTGGCAGGCAATGGTGCTTATTACTCTCCACGTTTGAGAACAATGACTCACTCTCCGCTGTTTGTTTTCTTGGCATGTTTTTGTTTTGTGGTCGTTTCATCTGGGCTGTAATCTGCAGCCGGCAGAAATTTGTTCAGCGTGATATTTTAGTTTTTAGAGAAAATATGAATATCACAGAAATGTTTCTTTTCCTCAAGGTTAGTGGTTGGTTAACAGCATTTAGTAAGAGGAAAGATTATATAAAAAGAAGTACTGGGAATTGAGAGACAGTCGGTGGATTTCTCTTGTAGCTGTTTCTAAGCGCACATTAAGGAGACACTTGGTTGCACGGCTGAGGTAGTTCAGACTATGAGTGCATTGCGACTTCCATCAGACTCAGTCTGACCGGTTTGTGACCCTAACGCGACCTGCAAGCACAGAAAGAGAATGTAGACGTTACACAGATCTAGTAATGGATGTCAGCCGCTCTGTGTTGTTATTGAGTTGTTGAGCAACAGGAGCTGAAATTCATCATGAGACGAAGAAAAAGAGCACAACTATTTAAAATAGGCTGTGAGTGCTACTTTTCTAAAGAAGCCTGTGGATAATTGGAAGTCCAGTCACAAAAAAAAACATTAATAAAAATGTATTAAAATGAAATGATAATCAATAATCAATCATTTAAGTAGCAATACAAATAGAACAGGAAAGGAAAAACAGAAAAAAAGGATAAAAGATGAAAGAAAGAAGAGATAAAAGGCTTTATCTCTTGTAAAGAGATATAAAAAGAACAGCACAACCAACGGACATGGAGCAAGACATACAATAAAGTGACACCTTTATACTATTGCTGAAGAGATAGAGAGCTTAGTCTAAACTAAGGATGCACGATATAATCGGCCCCCTATCGGTATCGGCCTTAAAACTGAATATCGGACATCGGCC